GAAGACTTGGGCTTGTTGTTCATAGATGCTCGACAGTTGTTATTTATTAAAATCAGCATTTTCAGTCCTCCGTTACCCGTTACCTGGAACTGTTTGAGAGCTGTTTACTAATTCGACTATGCCGACCCTTGCGTCTCAGCTCGATTTTCGTTTGTCACATTTGAGCAGCCGTTTTTTTGCAGATAGCCAGTTCGCATGTGTTCGACGTTAGTGCAGCATCGGCTTTTTCGAGGCTGCGAGCAATCGCAACTAAGCAAAAACGTTGAAATCTTACGTATAAACAGTAATTCAGAACTAAGCACGAAGAAAGGAAAACATATGCTAGAATATTTGCAAGATTATTTTGATATGGCCGCCTACTACTCTAGGCACGATAGTTTAGACGTTGAATCGTATAGTAGTTTTAGGGAAGGGAAAAGCGCGCAATTTATGATACCTTTCATGAATAAACTTTACATTCAGCATTTATATCTATTTTATGTCAGTGTACCTCAATTTTGAGGGCATTATTTACAGCTAGCTGACTGCGGTACATTGTAACTGGTTTGTTTCCTTCTCGTGGAGTGATGTTGATTTATTTACCGTAGAAGGAAAAATCAAACCCCGTGAACTGTTTTCGTGACAGTCAGAAGATATCCTGACAAAATCTGAGAGATACGAACAGAAGCGCTCCGTATACTTGCCCCATTGTTCACTATATGCGCAGTCAGTCACCATTTAGCAAATTAATAATTAAAGCGCGTTGCTTCCATTTTAACGGGATTGCTCAATCTATGGTGGCATGGAACCGAGAATCGAGAGGTTGTGGGTTCGAACCCAGAGAAGACAACAGCATTCGAGCCCATTGAATCAGTCAGTTCACTCTCAGTTTTTTCTTTTTTCGTAGATATATAAGTACCTGTTTGGTTAAAGGAAACGGTAGACTACCCTACAAAGCTTTAAATATGGCCTTAAGAAAAAAATCAATTGTTTTACTCCAAAGTTTTATCTTATCCCGCTGAGGAAGATCGAGATCGAATTGCGGTCCTAATCTTGAAGAACTGGTTCACCTGATAGACAATAGTAGAAAATCGGGTGGCATGTCATTAAGCTCTGAATAA